GAAGTCCAAGCTTCTTGCAAACTTCTTGCAGTTCCTTCAGCTTGTTGTCTTTTGTGAACACCTGCTCATCTACTTGAACAATCTCCTCAGCCTTCTGCTGCCAAGACGCGGATTTCTCCACCACGTTCCTCCTCATCATCTTCTGGCCATGATGCTGGTTCACCTGCCATTGGCTGACAGGCACTTCCGCATGGGGCATAAAGTAGTCTCCAATGCATCGTGGAGCAAGGAATGTGATGCGGAGCTCCTGCTCCTCTTGGAATCTGTCTGAATGGGAGTGGAGAGTCCACATACAGTAGTCCCAAACATTCTCACCTTGCTCCCACAAGCCATCACTCTGAGCAACTTTCAACAATGTCAAACCGACTGCTCCATTCCTGTCCCCAAAGCAATAGAAATTTTGCGGCGGTCGGATTGGAATGCACCACAATGCCATTGGGCAGCGCATGCCACCCTGGCACTTTCTCCAACAAGCTCAACCCTAATGAAATGTAGCCTCTCAAGCGCTGAAGGGGAGAAAGAAGACAAGGACACCACGGTGGCAGAGTCAAGTGCAGCGAAGAATTTCATGACGGAGGAGGAACTAGCAAGTCCCAAGAGGCAGAAGGTTGAAGAGCCAAAGATGCCAGCTGACAGTGGAGGCATGAAACACTCTTGTTCAGTCTTCCCTGGGACAAAGATGCAGATGAGCCCCAAGAAGAAAGTAGGAAGCGTTCCAGAGACTTTCCCAACAAAAAGATGACGTGTTGGCGGAAGAGATCCTCCAGTCGGCACTGAACGATGCCAGTGACGAAGAAGATGAAAGAAAAGACGAGAAGATCAAGGAAAGGCCACCAGAGGTCACTGAAGAAGAACTCCATGCTCTCGACCTAGAAGCATGCAAGCATCAGGAGGCATGGCTGGAGAAGATAGGAGTTCTCGAGAAGATGCAGGAGAGCGCAGCGGAGGAGCCAGGATCATATGTCCTGACAAGCCAGATGGTGATCACGCGGAAGTACCGAGACGAGCAGGGAGGCTGGTTTCGTCGAGCACGGTTAGTTGGTCGACTATACAAGTGGTCAGTGTTCACAGAAGATGCTTTCGCTTCCACTTCTGCATCGGTCATTAAGGCTGTTGTTGCACCTTCAGATCAGGACAGGGTTGGCACTTTACACCCTGGATGTCAAAAATGCATTTCTTCTGATGCGCCAGCCAGCCGATCAGAAAGCCATGATCGTGACCTCCGGTGGCAAGTGCAAGCTTCGAAAGAATCTGCCAGGTCAGCGCAATGTAGCATCCCACTAATTCCGAGGCTTCTGTGCAATAGCTCGTGAGTTTGGACTCGAGCAAGATGCAATGCAGCCCACTATGATGAGGCAAGCCAAGAACGAGGCGCAGGACAAGAAGCCGTTGTTTTTGACAATTCAAGCAAATCGTGGAAGGTCGAGAAAAGAGGGCCACGGTCAGGCCAGACCAAGAACACATCAGGCCCTGGCCAACGTGACGAATGTCAAGAACAGAAAGCCCAGGACAACTCCAGGAGATGGCGACTTCAACAAGCTCAGCAAACGATGAGCTATGGCAGTTGAAGAGGGGACGAAGTATAGAAGTGCTGCGGGGAAGCTGCTCTACATAGCTCCAGACCGCCCACATGTGCAGTTTGTGGCGCAGGGACTTGCGTCTCTCATGCAGTGTCCAAGGCGACGCAGCATGTTAGCTCGTACTTGTTGGGGACAATTTATGAAGGCTTGTTGATGGAGCATGTTCCCAAGGGCAAGAGTGTGCTGAACACCACAGTGGCAGGCTATGAATGGGATGAATCGGGATGAAGATGAAGATTCCAAAAGCTTGCTGGAGTGTGTATGCGGTGCAGACTTTGCAGGCCAGCGCGAGTTCAGTGCAAATGTTTCTCAATGGATGCTTGATGGAGAGCTACGTACGTTGTCAACGTAGCGTTGCTCTGTCTTCAGGTGAGAGTATGTGGCCATGGTGGGAGCATGCAGTGAGGGCATGTTCGTTCGACGTTGCTGGGATTTCTTGACAGGTGAAAAACAGACATGGTGTGCCGCAGTGACTCTTCAGCGGCACGGTCGTTGGCATGTCGGATTGGTGTTGGACGACCTCGTCACATTGCTTCAGGTTTGCTTTGGCTTCAACAGAAGGTCAATGAGAAGGAGATGAGAGTGACGGTCAGTGACCGCCATAGCAACAGCAGTCAACACAAGCGACATGGGCGCCAAGATTCTCAGCAAGGCCAGGTTGAAAGGCTTGAAGTTTTTGGTGTAGATGACTGATGGTGACGATCAAAAGATCGGAAGGGCCGAACATGAAGACATCCAGGCAAAGGAAGACATGAAGCGCAATGTGTGCAAAGTCTCAAAGAGCCTTGGAGCACATGCCAAAGTGGCCATGGTGATTGCAATGACATTGTTGCAAGTCGGCCGAGGAGAAACGGGAGAAGAGGATGACCACCAGGATGACTTTGTGGTGGAGCCGGATGATCATCACTGTTTCTATGCCTAGCAGTTGTGGAGGCCTTGAGCTTGGCACCGTGGGCCATGGGCAGTGGCAACAATGGAGACACCGGCAACATGATGAAGATGAGCGTGAAAGGAAGAAGAGAGAGCAGCCAGAGGAGGCTGAAGAAGAAGTGGATGAAGAAAGAGTGAGATTGCAATGGGCAGTGGTTCAGGCAGAAGCTGCCTATGCAGAACTCGGAGAGAGGATGAAAGACCTCCAGGAAGAAGAAGAACGATGGAGGAATGAAGCCTTGAAGCCAACGTAGACCTATGTGGACAGGTCGATATGCTGAAGGAGAAGTGTGAGAAGGCTGAAAGGTAGATTGAGAAGAAAGAATACTTATGTTGGGAGAAAGACGGTGAGCTCAGTCGTATGAGAGCACTCCCAATGCTTCGTGATCCAGATGACAAGGGCCCAGAGATTCAAAAGCTGGCCGAAGGTGTTGAACGAGCCCGGCAAGGAGCAGAGCTTTGGAAGACTCGGGTGGCCCAAATCAAAGCAGAGGCAGACCGATGGGTGTTGAATCGCATGAACCTAGCACGAGTTCACCTCGAGCGGCAAGAGTGGTGTGTCATTCCACAAGCTGCAGTCATGTAGCCAACCGAGCCGTGCACCATGAGACCATCAGGGGCGTGACAGCATTCCGAGGGATTCCAATAGTAGACCCACATTAGATCACATGGTCACATGGAGCACTGTTACATGGTCGTGGAGTCGGAAGACGTTTGGACCCCTCTCCGCATCTCAAAACTTTTCTGGATCTTTTTGTATCTCGGCCGTTGGATCTTCAGGGTTTTGTACAAGGCTAGACCTCCAGAATTTTGATTTCCTCTACACCATTAGATAGACCTGTTTGGATCTCCAGGCCTTGGATTTTTGTAGATGTAGACCTGTCTGCATCTCAACCGTGATCTCTCCATCTCAACCGTGGTCTCTCTCTATCTCGAGACCTCTGGATCTTTAGATGGGCCTCAAACCTTTCTGAACCCCGAAACTTTTGGACTTGTGGATGGTTCACGAATGGTCTGTTACGTTGGAGTGGCGCCTCCCTCCTCCAAAATTATACCCAATCAATTGGCTCACAAAAGGTCTGCTACCTGTGTGGATCCTTCCTCCTGTAAAAACAGTGGAGCACCTCATGCCCACCTTCTGCGTGCTTATCTCTGGGTCTCGCAAAAAGGCTCCAAAAGATTTGCGGCCGACTCGCGAATTCATGTCATTCGGGCCGCTGTTGATAGTTTCTCGAACATTTCAATTGCCATGTGCTGGCACAGGCCACATTGCTTAGATATTGATGTTGTGGTGCAAATCAATATTCAAGCTTTTGAAAAAACTGCAGGTGGTGCAGATGTCAATCTGCAAATGTCAATCAACGGCGAACCGTTGAAGCCAAGAGAGGGCTTCAAACCTTGACCATATTGAGTTTCAGAGGTGCCCAACTTTGTTCTCAAAGGTCTTCAAATCCTATCAAAAAAATGAGGTTCGTGCTTTCCTCGATCACATTCCGTTTGTCATTTCTCTACACTTATGATTTGCAATCATCCTGCTTTATGTTGGCAGCGCCTCAGGTTTGATTGCGCACACATGCACTCGCAAAGGGCCACAAAGGAAAACATCCTTTTGAAACAAGGATCCTTTTTTTGAAACCCGTGGGTTCGAAGCCCCTGGTGCTGCCTGGTCGCCATTCATGGACCAAAGGCGAGAAACCTCAAAGGCAAGTGGCCAAGGAGCAATTGGAAGAGCTGGCCGTGGCAAAGGTAGGTGAGAAAGAGCTCAGAGCTTGGAACCTAGTGAACAGCGATGGCCTCCAATAAAGAGTGATGGCCTCCAACTGATCATGCCACCGTTGTTTTGGATGTCAGCGTCCTTCCCAAATGTTGTTTCATGATTGGGCGTGTGGTCTGACCCACCAGCACCTTGTAGCGAGGAAACCTTCACCTAGTTGAGGTGACCGATGCTTTTTGCAAAGTTCTTGGGATCACATGCTTCAGGGAACCTTTGTTGGGTTTCTTGGAACAAGGTATTCGCATATTTTCTTGTTTCACGGTTGTGATTTTGCATGCGCATTTTGTAAGGGTTCGTTGTTTGGTTGTCCGATGAGTGTGGCGACCAGCGTGCTGTCGTGGTGCCATGCTGATATACCTCTCTATTCCCTTCACTTGTGCTGTTTTGGCAGACCCTTGCGCGTGCTCCGTTTTGATTGATGTAGCCTACCCGCGCCATTCCTTTGTGCCGGTTGGCCAAGCCAAATGCAGCACGCAAATGTCCATCAGCATTGGTGATTTGGGGGAGCAGTATGACCCTCTTGGTATGACCTTCTTGGAGGTTAATGAAGCCCAACCCAACTCTTACGTCCATACGAGCAGACCTGAAGCATTCCAGGATAGCTTCTCGGATAGATGAGTCGTATCATCAACCACCAGAGCTCACTACAACAATTCGGACCGTTCCCCTCCTATTGGATACTATTGGTTGTTCCCTTTATTCTTGCCCCTTTTGAATTCTTGTTTCAGGTGTGTACATCTCACCTGCATGCATCAAGTAGACTTAGTATCATGGCCAGCCAGCTGCTTTCCGGATGACGTGTGGTGCTCAGCTTTGGTTTGACGTGTAGTCGCTTGCGTGCTGTAGCGCCGAGGGAAGAGCGGAAAGACGCGGCAGAGGAGCCACAAGAGTCGAATGACGGGCCGAACTTGGCGGATGCCGATGCCAGTTCGCAATGTGGCGGACTGAGATATTTGCGCTTCTTGTTACTGGAAAGCTTCAAAGACGTACTAGAAAGTATTGTTGGTAGCGATGGCTTCCAACCTAATAGTAGAGATGTCCTCCAACTTGTAGCTACATGAAAAAAGGTGCTCTGAAAAAGGTGTTTCACATGGCTTGTCGATGTGCCATTCATTCGCAGGCTTGAATGTGCCCATTGGGGACAGTTCCGATGTTAGCGGACAGACTGTGGCAATCTGGCCGAATTTGAGTGTGTGAAGTTGATGGCAAGCACAAAGTGGTGCATGCATGTGACTGTGTCCAACTGAGAGCAACATAGCAGCTCATGTCTCGTTCTGATAAGTTGGAAATGCCAAAATGCGTGGCATCAGGTTCAGAAAGTGGTCTCTCCCAGCGCTTCTCGTAGTTTGGGTGTCCCAGTCTTTGGTTGACAGTGGACGCTAGGAACCAAGGGCATCGCTACTAGGAACAAGAAGCTACTAGGGGCTCCTGGCATAGCTACTAGGAGCAAGGACGCTACTAGGAGCGGCCCTGACAGTGGACATGCACTTGAACTTTTGCTTGGTTCCACGCATCACGAGAAGGTTAGAGCAGAGAACCCAATAGCAATGGCCTCCAACCTATGCATCGCGTGTTTCCTTTCCTTCAAATTCCGAGTTGCGCGTCTTTTCGCTGCTTTACCGAAGGCCAAGGCCGAAAGCGGACGCGGTCAAGCCGCCGCAGTCAGCGCAGTTTGGGGCCTAGCCTTCAAGACCGGCACCATGAGTTAAGTCTAAAGAGGAGTCTGTTAAGTCTGGTCGAAAAAATGTGCGATCTGCCTTTTTGAGCAGACAGCCACCTTGGACGCTTTTCCTGGTTTTGGAGCATGTGAGTACCTACTCGGCTTGTTGTACCATGCCAAGGTCCCCAAAAAGGCCAGACAAGGAATGCATGTTTTCACCATAGAGGAACTCTTGCACTCTTGCATCTTAACTTCTCGAGCGGCGACCACTGAGCTGAACTGATATCGTTTGAGAAACTGCGAGAAATCGCACGGACGCCGATGGCGGATAACGACGGATCCACATTGCAGGCCGGTACAGGGAGCGAAACTTTCGTTCACGACGGACTGGGCAACAAGGCTCTGAAGGCGATGGAAGATATGATGAGACACGTGTGATGCAACTGCTGAGTTCATGGGATTTCCTCGAGATTCCGCTGGTTGAGCATTCCGCAGGTCCTGCCAAGAACATGGTGGCAGGTCCTGTAATCCGAGTTGGGTTCTCAGAGAGGGAACCACCCATTTGCAGAGGGCGAGTTGCCTAAATCCTTGAGGATGGGAAACCCATCTACAGCTACGGAAACTACGATCCGTGCCCACCTTGCCACCGTTTAAGTGAGTAGCTGCACGGCCACCCAATGTCACCCAAATGCAGGTACCTATGAGTACTAACGAGCTTAAGTAACTACTAGCAAGGGCCTCCAACCTAGAAGCGATGGCAGTACTAGACTATATTAGACTACTGTGAGTGGCAGGTACTACAGACAACGCTTTGATCGGTGCGCTGCAGTCGATCCTCGAATTGAGGTGAAAGGGGGAAACTGGAAGGGTCGGTGCTTTCACATTGCGGGCTAAAACGAACGTTCAAATTAAAGTGTCGCAGGAGAAGACAGAGAATTGGTACGACAAATGCTTCGTGAAAATGCACTTGTGCTGTCGAATGAGAGGCGCTCTTGCAGTACTGTGGCACCGAGCTCTTTAGAGACAAGGTGCGCGCAGAAGTGATTGGAACACCACAGCGCCAAGATACTTACTTGGAATAGCTTGTCCTTTCTGTGCTCAGATAGCTGTCTTTTGAGACGGAACGTCCATCAAATTGGCTCAACAGGTTTCTCCGGACTTCGAATAGCTCCCAATAAAAGGAAGTCTTGACGGACAAAATTGTTACAAAATGCTGCAGTCCGTGTGCGTGTGATCGTGGTGTGCAAGTTGTAGTTGTAAGAGCACGATCGCGAAAGCAAAGCGGGAGTCTGCTGACAGAGCAAACGAGAAGGTAAGGTGAGCGGTGGAGGCCATCGCTAGGTTGGAGAGGGCAGAAGGCTGGCAGAGAGGGTGAGAGTCTGTACTTATGTGTCTGTGTATGTAATGTCATGTAGTGTAGGTAATTGATGTACAAAAAAAAGGATGTTGGTTGAAGGTCACCCATTGTATACAACGTCAGTGCAAGCGATCAAGCGGTTAGAGGATCGAGTTGATCGGGTTTGGTTGAAAAGCTGTGTGATGTGTTTCGACCTTGCAAGGTCGTGCTGGATGTCGGCTGCAACTCAGGCAGGCACGCAGGGCACATGGATGAGTGCAACCGAGTGCAGAAGAAGATTGACTAGTTTATTAGGCGCAAAGGAAGCAACTAGTCGGCGCTAGCCTCAAGAGCAACATGTACTTCATTCTGATGCTGACCATGTACTCAAGGCATGCTGAACACCAGTGAAGGGTGGAGTCGGGCTAGGAGGGCCCTGTGCTGCAATTCTTTTTCGCCCAGTTGGAGGGTGAAGGCCATCGCTACTAGGGTGGAGGCCATCGCTACTAGGTTCGAAGCCATGGCTATTAGATTGAAGGCCATCGCTATTAGGTTTGAGGCCATGGCTATTTGATTGGAGGCCATCGCTTGTGGGTTGGAGGCCATCTCTAGTAGGTCTAAAAACATCGATTCTAGGGTGGAGGCCATTGCTATTAGGTTGGAGACCGTCGCTACTAGGTACAGGCCATCGCTAGGAGTTTGGAGGCCATTGCTACTAGGTTGGAGGCCCTTGCTAGTAGGCTGGAGGCCATCGCTACTCGGGTGGAGGCCATCGCTACTAGCGTGGAGGCCATCGCTGGAGGCCATTGCTATTAGGTTTGAGGGCCCTGTGCTGCAATTCTTTCTGCCCTTTTTACCATGCCTTATCACAAAAGGTGCCTGCAGGGGGACA